TTACATTCAAAACTTAATTTTAAGTATATATGCCAAGGAACTTGGCTTCAAAATATAGTTTATAATTCAACTTTTAATGTTACATAATTTTAATTTTTTAACTTAAAATATATAAATAAATTCTCATTCATCACTTCTCTGTGATACATCTCTGCTCAGAATTATCCTTTTAAGGTTTTATTTCTTTCCTTATATGGGTTTCAGGATGTCTACCAGTTAGAAACACAAACTATAGACATTGACAGGATAGAATTTAAAATAAGAACCTCCCAATTTTTTATTTTCTGATATGTCAATAAATTTTGTTACATCTACTACAGAAGCTCCTCTTAATACTTCATATTCTTGAATTTATTTATTTACTCAGTCTTAATCGTTAATAGTGCATGTTTACAATCAATAGGTAAGTAATTTTGTGAACTATATGATTATGATGGCTTTTTAATTTATTTGGTAAAATTTACTGTTCCACAAGTCAATTGTATTGAGAGTAGACGGAAGTTGGTGCTTCCGTATGTAATGAAATTTGTTTAATCTACTTATAGATTAACTAGAAGGTCACATAAATTATACTAGTTTTGAGTTATTCTGTCATACTGTTTGAATTATTATTTGTGTCTTAAATGCATATTTTAAAGATACATAAATAATTTTTTGTAATATTTTTATTAACTTTCAAATTTGCCATTTTTGTCCTAATTTCACCTGTAAATTTTGTATCATTGAAGTGTTCAAAATTATAAAGGATGTAGATAGGATTGATGCACCATATTTTTCATTTCTAATGGTAAGAGTGGTAGTACTACGAGACAGAGACATAGATTTAAGATTGGTGGGTTAGAAGTCACTGGTGTGAGAGTTAGTCAGAATAATCGAAGATTGGTTGTGAGAGTCAAAACACTTAAGTATTTGATTATGATTTTTCATAATTTGTTATAACTGTTTACAGTATTATTTTTGGAAGGATGTATTGTTTTTATGTTTTAGTTATATTCTTGTTTTCTCAACCTTGTTGCAACAAAAATGGATAGTTTGTGGCAAATCAAACATTGGGCTTAAATAATTAAAGGCCAAAAACATTTTATGGAATTTATCCTGATATGAAACTAGGATGGGCTTATTGCATGAATATCATACTGTATAAAAATATTCAATAGCCAATGATGTTAATAAGATATTTATGAACAGTGATCCCTTGCTGTCTGTATGCTATATTATGTTACTCGTGTATGCCTTTATTTGTACAGTTCAAATTAAGTGTTTACTGCTGTGTCTTAGTTAAATTAATTAAACAACAATAAAATGAACTTAAAATAACACTGAATTTTAGAATGACATTGTATATAATGGATACAGAAACATTGATGCAGTGAATAGTTATAATGCCAAATTAAACTTTGTTCTGTTTTTTTCTGTAAAAACTAAAATTTAGTGGCTTTCATTTCATCTTTATTTATATTGTGGTCAGGGTATTAGCCAGGATTTGAAAAATTCCCATTCAAATATTTTAAAGTAGTGAAGCACCAAAGATGTAAACCTTGTATGAGGGCCCTGTGGCATTCTGTGCCAGAAAAAATTTGAAATTTTACATGTGACATGCATTCTGGTGTAGTTTTGACAATGATTTATTACAAATTTAACCTTTTTACATACACAAGTTCTTATCCTTCTCCATGTGTTTAACAAGTGAAATAACAAAATCAAGAATTTTATATTTGCAGACCTTTATTTCAGTTGTGCATCATTATATCTTTCTGTTCTATTTCAAAAACAAAGATTAAGTGCATTGTTAATAGGGAGATTTTGAGTGTTGATGAGTCCATAGCATATTCAAATCAACTGTACTGTAGACTATGTTAGCTTATAACTTATTGAAAATAAGCTATATTTGTTACATATAAATGATCTCGTTACCTTGCCATTTTGAACGGTGAGGTCCAGCATTATTGGTAAATCTGTCAGTATTGCTATGTTTTTTAGGATATATAGCTGTTGTAATGGTAAAATAAAGTATAAAAAGAAATATGTCAGTAAATATCAATCTAGTTGAAACTGACTGGAGATTTAAGATAAAAGTATTTTTAAGGATAAAAAAATTAAAATTTTAGTATAAAAATAAATATTTTTAAGGTTTCCTTAGAACAACCTATCACGATAAAATCTGGATATTTCACAACCTAACAATTATAGAAGTATTGAACCAAATTATATGAGTTTATTTATAGCCAAAACGGTTTTATAAGTTACATGCAGTTTGGCTAAGTATTACCTCTGTGAGGAGAAATAAAAAACAAAATCATGAGATGTCTGTGACCCCTCCCTTTCCTGATTTGTAGGTCCAGGCATGGTAATAGTTATTTTTTGCAGTCAGAAGTGAAGTCTGATTTTAGTTTGACTTTGAAATTACTATCTAACTCAATCAAGGTTGGAATACTGTTTAATATCATGAACACTGAAGTTCCTACAGTCAAAGTAGTGATTAACATCGATGTTTTTAAACAGTACATGAGAGAGCAACAAAAGCAATCATATACTTTATCAAATGGTAAAGGACAAAGCTGTTTTCAGTTTCCTATGTTGTGTACATAAATATATCCTTGTTGTACTAAAATTAATGATTTGATGCATTATTTCTTTCAAATTTTACCCACTAAAAAGAATAAAACTATAAGATTTTAGATTCAAAGTAGTTTGAAGTTTATAAAGCAGTACACGTGTATTTTACCATCACACACTGAATTGTAAAGAATAAACTACAACCTGAATGATGTGATGAAATTCAGATTTAGCTGTTTTCTTACCATTTAGCACAATTGTAAATACTAAATATGATAAAACTCATGTTGATTTAGAATTGTAGGATTGTTTCAAGAACAGTGCATGTAGAACAAGACCATGGATCCAGGGCTTAGTTTTTAGTGTAGACATAATAGTGTTTTGTATGAAATACAAAAACTCTATTATGTGTGTAACATTATAAGTAAATAATCAACAATATTAGGTCAGTAATGCATTTTTATTTTATGCTCGTAATGTGTTTGAACATAAACTAACATTTCAAAAAGGGAATTTTTTTTGCATGTTTTTAAGTGTGTTTTAGATTCATTTTTTTCACATTAGTAGTGGTGTTACACTATCACTTGTGTAATGCATAGTTATAAATAATTCCTTGCATCTTATTAAACAATCCTTCTTAGGTACGAGAAAAGTTCTGTGCTTTTATTAGCTATAAGAACTTAGTTTTAAATATTATCTGTTAGAAGTAGAAGTTACATAAATAATTATACAGTATAATTTTTATTAAGAAACATTTTTTAAGTAAAAGATGATATAAATATCTTGAACTTTAGTATAGCATATGTGTTAAATAATTATATTATATTTTAAGTCAACAGGAATATAAAACAGTTGAGCAAAATGTGCAATGTTGTAATACCTTTTGGTACTGTTTATTTATAAAGACAACAAAGTTATGGAAAACATTACTATTCCTCTAAGTAATATTGATAATAATGATCATATGCAAATGTAAGCAATACTACTAGATTCTTGCTAGGTTAGAGAAAAGAACTACACAAAAGAATATTGCATAATGGCTAAATATTGCAGATTTTTTTTTTTGCATCTGAAATTATATGAATATTCTATTAGCTTGATTTTC